CAGAGCAGAGACTGAATCTTCCATTCTCCAGTTCACTCCCCAGATGCCCTCAACGGCCAGGGCCGGAATAGGTGAAGCCAGGAGCCAGGAACTTCTTCTGGTTCTCCCACATTGGATGCAGGGGCCCAAGCGCTTGGACTCCACTCCGCTGCCAGCCTGAGGCTTAAGGACAGGTCCACGGGTCTGAGGAATGGGAGGGGAGGCAACGTTTAGAAGAGGCTCCAGCCAACGCTAAGGCTCTGGGGAGCCAAGTGCAGGAGGGCCCGGGGTCTGGGTAGGGATGGCGAGGCCCCTCACAGTGGCCAGGGCTGGTCATAACAGCTGACATTTAAGTCTGTCACCGAGTGGGCAGTGAGGCTGTGTGACCCATACACCTGTGTCCTCCACTCTTCATTTGTGGCTGTCATGCCCTGGAAGGCCGAGGACCGAATCGCGGCCCGTTGCCTTTTGGAAAGCGCTCCCGCCCAGGGCTGGCAGTCTCTGAGAGACTGTCTCTCCTTCTGGCCTCTCTGTCTCACCCTCTGCTTGCCCCGGCCCCTCTCTTCCCGTCTCTCCAGCCCCTCCCCTCCTTCCTTCTCTCCTGTCTCCTGTCCCATCCCCATCTCCTGCCGGCTTCACTTCCACCTCCTGCCATGCAGATCTCTTTCTCCCCTTGCACAGGCACACCTGTCTGTTCGGCCACATGCAGAGAGCAGAAGGCTCCTTGGGCACAGTGCCAAAGGGAACTGACCATCAGCCCAAGGGACACCCTGGCAAAGCCAGAGCAACCCCGGGGACCTGCAGACAGGATACATGATGGACAGGGGACATGAGCAGAGACGGAGCTCCCAGGGGACCAGGACTTGGTGTTCTGGCCCAGGCCAGCAGCCATGGGGCTTCCTGGTTTACCTTTGTTTAAGATGAGATGGGTCTCGGGTGGCTATGCAGAACGGCCCGGAACTCAAGGCCTTTTCTTGTCTAGTGACCTGCAGGGTTTGGACTGGTGTCTGCGAGGTGGTTGGGGCACCTGACCCAATTTGGAGCCGCATGGCGAAGGTGGTAGTGTTGACTTCCATGCTGTCTCTTAGCTTTCAAGGCCAAGCAGCGATGTCACCACTTCCTGGAAGCCTTCCTTCCTCTCCTCAGCAGGCACAGCTTTAGCTCTGTGGTGCCCCTATTGTGTCTTCTTCACATTTTTTTAAGACTTATTTTTTAAAACGTAAAAAATGATTTTCCACTTTCAAAAATGATTTATTTATTTATTTAATTGGAAAGTCAGATTTACAGAGAGAAGGAGACAGAGAAGAGGATCTTCCATCTGCTGGTTCATTCCTCAATTGGCCGCAATGGCCGGAACTGAGCTGACCCGAAGCCAGGAACCAGGAGCCAGGAGCTTATTCTGGGTCTCCCATGAAGTGGAGCAGCCAGGACACAAACTGGTGTCCATAGGGGATTCTGGTGCATGCAAGGCAAGAACTTTAGCCATTAGGCTACTGTGCCAAACCCCCATTTATTTATTTATTTATTTATTTATTTATTTATTTATTTTATTTTATTGGAAAAGCAGATTTATGGAGAGATGGAAAGACAAGGATCTTCCATCTGCTGGCTCATTCCCCAAGTGGGTGCAACAGCCCGGGCTGAGCTAATCCAAAGTCAGGAGCCAGGAACTTCTTCTAGGTCTCCCACATGGGTGCAGGGTCCTGAGGCTTTGGACCATCCTCGATTGCTTTCCTAGGCCATAAACAGGGAGCTAGAAGGGAAGCGGATCAGCTGGGACACGAACCAGCACTCATATGGGACCCTGGAGGTAGCAAGGTAAGGGTTTAACCATTGAACCATCACACCATTCCTTTTCTTCACACTCTCCAATACCTAAGGCACGGACTTGCACAGGTGTGCCAGACCCCGAGTCTGTGCTCCTGACCAATGGGCCAGGGCAGGTGGCTCAGTCTGTCTTTGTGCCTCCCCTGCCTAGCCCTGAGCCTGGCTTGGATGCTACTTGGAGTGGGTGGATGAAATGAATGAGTGTGAGACCAGCTCAGCCAGGCTCTGCTCCACTCCTCTCCCCCTCCCCCAGGCTGGGCCATCCCTGAGGCATGTCCAGCTGTGCAGGCTTCAAGCTGCAGATTGGAAACCAAAAGCTGACGGCCACCTGCACCCTGCCTCGTGGCCCTGGAGCCTCCCCTTGGCTCCTGCCGGGTGTGTCCACTGCTACTCTGCATGGTTCATCTGCTGGCTGCTGAGCTATGAGGGTACTTGGGGGGTGGGCAAAGCCCCCTACCACGCTGTGAATAGGGCAAGACAATTCTGATTTCACGGTTATATGGGCTTGTCTTTATCAAGTCAAGAGAGAAGGGAACAAAAAAATCTTTATTTTGTTTCATTGCTTTCAGGAAACAGAGGCTGCTGCAGGAAGGGAAGGGTGGGGGGCCTTGTGAGAATGCAGGAGGTGGGGAAGGAGGAAGTAGGTCGAGGAGGGGGTGGCTCTTGGTGGACTTTGCTGGCTGATCTGGCCCAGATATTCATACACCTTTGATCACTCAGCGCCTGGCAGACCCTCCAGTTGACGGAGGACCCAAGAGATGTATCAGCCCTGGCTGGCCCAGGTCAGCGGATGACCCATGCCCAGTGAGATCTGTTACCTAACTGGATTGAGGTCCCTGCACTTGGGACCTTGTCGCCCCGGGTCACTGTAGCACTAGATGTCTGACAAAGAGGATTGTGGTTCCGTGCGTATTTGAGCTGCAGCATTCATGTACTACCTGGTCCAAGCGGAGAGGCAGGCACGTATTTGTTGAGTGACTCCCTGAGATTTTGGAAACCCCACTATGACCCAACACACACAGGTCCTCCTGGCGCTAAGCCTCTGCTCCCGGCACCCTGTGTCTAGCAGAGTCTTCAGCTTCCATCGCTGTGGTCCCTCCAGAGCTCTGCTGTCTACCCCTTGTTCTCCAAGGACCCCTCTGTGCCCCAGGTCCCATGTCTGCCCCACCCCTGGCCTTGCCCCTGGGACTCTGCCCCCTGAAGGTGGCTCTCTAGCTCAGTGCTAGGGTGTGCTGGGTGGCCCCTGTTGCACACTCGTCACAGGGGTTGCCATGCTCTGTGGTTTTCCTCTCTGCCCTGAGAGAGCTGCTTGAGGCTGAGTCCTGGAGCCTCGCACAGGGGCTGGTACACAGTAAGTCCTCAGGGCTGGAGCCTGATCTTTAAGGACACCTGCCAGGCTGGGAAAGATACAAACTTCCTGTCTCTCCTGGTGAGAAGGGGAGAACCCAGACACTCATCCCAAAGAGTTGGGTGAGGATCATTCTTAGGATGGGGCCTTGCAACTTGTTCCCTGGCCATTCTGACCAGGGCGGTTACACAGAACAGATCAGTAAGTGGGTCCCATTCTCTGGCAGGCAGGGTGCTCTGGGCTTACCGCTGTGCTCACTGGAAGACTACACTTACCAGCTTCCCTTATGGCTAGACTGGATCATGTGACTATCACCAGCTAATGGGCTGTGGGCAAAGGTGACCTGTGCACTTCTGGGCGTGGCCTTAAACGTTAACTGCTGCTGTAAGAGTTGGTCACAAGCTCAGTGACATGAGTTGTGTGTTTCCCTGAGTCACAGGTTTGTGATGAGTTTTAGGGAGCCAAGATGTTGGGGGTGCGTTCTTCTGGAGGCTCCTAGGAAACTCTCCCACGCCCTGACCCCTTTCAGCTTCTAGTGACCACTAACATCTCTGTTCCTGCGTCACTCCCCTCTCAAGTTCTGGCATCCCAGTCCCTTCGGGTGCCTGCTAGCCTCGTTCTGATCAGGAACTCTCCTTCCAAAGAAAACCTAGAATAACTGAATATTTACGTTCAAGATCCTCAACTTGGTCCCATCATCCAAATCCCCTTTTGCCACAGAAGGAGATGTGGATCCAGGTTTTGAGATTCAGGAGGTGGACATCCCTGAAGGTCCACCATTCTGTGGTGACTTTCCTGTCCTTTCTCCCCTGCCCTGGGCATGCTAGAGGTCCTCAGGTTCCTGTGGCTGTAATGACAAGAGGGGTGAAAAGACTCAAGCTGCTTTGGGCTTTTACTGAGTTCAGAATGAACTTTTACTTGGGTAAAGCCTTAGATGGTGGGGCCAGTGTGTTGCGGTAGCCTATCCCAGCCCAGCCCAGCCCAGCCCAGCCCAGCCCAGCCCAACCCAGCCCAGCCCAGCCCAGTCCATTCCAGCCCAGCCCAGCCCAGTCCAGCCCAGGCAGCCCAGCCCAGCCCAGTCCAGCCCAACCCAGCCCAGCCCAGTCCAGTCCAGCCCAGCCCAGCCCAGCCCAGGCTGTCCTTTGTATACTCCCATTCTGAGTCATGCAGTTTCTCATGGACTCCTCTTGATGACTCAAGTGTTGGCCACACGTCAGAGAGGTCAACTTTGCATTCTCCCCAAAGACTCTTGGGTTTCCCCTAACCACTAACAAGAACTGGATGGCATGGCTGAGGAAATCCAGCAGTTGAATAGAACGTTCTGGGATAATACCACTGGCCCTCAGGGGACTGACTGGACTGATGTTGGTTGGTGCCAGGTGATCTGTTTAGGCCAAAGGAAGGCTGGTGGAGGTGAGCCAGGCCTGCAAGGGGTTTGCCTGGTTTGAGTTTCTTGTTGAGCTTTGATGAACTACTCAAAGGGGGCCATGTGTTAGGCAGCTCCCGGCCCGTCAGCTGGGCTCTAGAAATAATACTGCAGAGGAAGCCCGTGCTCACCACACAACCTCTTTGCCTGCCACCCATAACCAGGAGGGCTGTGCCAAGCCAGAATGGGCACACAATCAAACACCTGTTGACGCTTGCCATTGAACCACGGCTGGGGTCGGTGTCATTAAGATGGAAGCTGCCCATGACCAGCAGCCCTTGAGTAGGCTGCTGGGGTCTGACAAGGTCCCTGAGAGGAGTGCTTGAGAGGCTGCTTGGCCCATCCTTTTCTCAGGCCTTGCCTGCCCCAGCAAGTGCCCAGTGGCTGCTTCTGAATAAAACACAGAGCCGTGGACGGAGGTGGGGAAAATCGTGTTTGTTTTAATTAAACCGACTGAAGAAGCCAAGACACAGACCGAAAGAGACTAAGAACGAGACTGGAAATAGTTTAGAAAAGAAATGAAAACCCATCGCCCTCAGGGAAGTCGGTGCCAGTGGAGGTCGGAGGAGGGGCGGCGCCTTCACGTCAGCTCCAGGACCACTGTTAGGGTGAGCACCAGAGTGAGCCGGACGCCAGCGGGGCCAGACGTGGAGCCTGTGTGGGCAGCAGGAAACACGTTAGTGCCCGGGAGCCTAGTGTGTGGCCCGGGTCCCAGCCAAAGCCCTGGAAGTTAGCGTCAACAGGAGCTGGGTTTGCATCCCAACGCTGCCACTTGGTCCATCTTGGAGTTCATGGTCTTTTCCCAAGCCTGTTGGGGTGACTCAGTCCTACTGGTGCCATCAAGCTGGTCCAGTGAAGAGCAGGGCTGGGTGTCTCCGAGGTGAATTATGGGACTAGCTGAGTGTGTGTGTGTTGAGGGGAGGGTGGTGACCTGGAACAGTGACTGGGTCCTTGGGGCCGTGATTTGTTGGAGCTGGAGGCAGCCAGGGGAGACAGGACAAAGCACCTGAGGCACCTCCCTGTGTTTCCAGCTGTCCTGTGGGGGTGGTCCAGGACCCTAAGTCATAACCCAGGGTCAATGCTGGACACAGTGTCTTGGAGTCACTGCATGTGGGAGGGGGGCATTGGATGCCTGAGCCCTCGACCTGCCTCCATACCCTCCAGTCCTGATCACCCCTGCCTGACGAGAGAGAGGGAGAGAGAGAGAGAGAGAGAGAGAGAGAGAGAGAGAGAGAGAGAGAAAGTGTCCTTCTAGAACAGGGAAAGAGCCAGGTTGGTGGATGGTGAATTTGGGCGGACGGAGCTTCCAGGAGCTGCAAACACCACCCACTTTCAGGCAACATGTCCCGAGGGTGGAATCTTACCATTGGAATCCTCCGTTCCTCTTGGGATATTTGGGTTTTCTGTGGAAAAGAAGCAGGAAGGGAAGCACAGTGGGCAGCAGTCAGAAGTCAGTAAAGGGTACCAATCACCCAGCACCTGCTACATGGAGTCACTGGCACTTGCTTGGCACAGCCACGTCACCTCCCAGGGGCTGGCAGAGACCAGCCCATTCTGCAGGTGGAGGAATTGAAGGAAGCCGAATGGGTTACCCAAGCTTATCCCCTACTCAGTGACACAGCTAGGATTTGTATGCAATCTGTATGACTCCAAAGCTGTTCAACCCTTGAACTGCCCTGATTCCCGGGGTTGGGGCCATCCTCTCTTCTGTCTCCTCACCTACTGTCCTGTCCTTCTCTCACCCCTAAACTCCCACTCCTGCCCCAACGCCTTGGGTAATGCTTCTTGCCCCATGTCATGGATAAATGTGGCCATACCAAACACGATGAGCCGGGTGTGTGTGTCGGTGGAGCCCAGAGGGTTCTGGGCTGTGCAGCGGTACATGGAGCCATTGAGTTCTGCCGGGACCCTCTCCAGCACCAGCTCCTTCCCATCGAACTCGGTGCTGCCGTCCAGGAGGCGGCTTCCGACTCGTGTCCATGTAAACATGGGCTCTGGAAAGACTTCATTCTGTTGGCCAAAGCAGGGTAGAGTCAGTTCGCAAGAGATACTGTGCTGCTGTCACATGAAGGGGTCAGCCATATGGCCTGGCTGGGGCTGGGGAAGCATTCCCATTGGATGGATTAGGAGTGGTTGCCTGGATCCCAAGGGAGGGAGTCCAGGGCAGGAGAGGGTGTCTGGATCCGTGGGCTTTAGTGCTCTGAGTTTGAGGTTGTGGAATGGAAACAGATATTCTCTTGGCCCTTCCTCATGGAAGCCAATTCTACCATTGTGCAGATCAGTAGACTGAGGCCCATTGGCCATGGCTAGCTGGAGAGGGAAGGAAAGGGTTGGAAGGTGCCTGGTTGGTGCCCACCCCCCGCCACCCTCCTGGCTGCTCCAAGAGATGCTAACCTGAAATCCGTGGACCAGGATCCTCACCGTGTCCCCAACCCGGGCTCTGCTGGGCGTCATCACGATTTTGGGTCCTTTAGGGGCAACTGTAGGGAGAATAGGTCTGTGTCAGGCAGGTATGTGTTTGGAGGAAGAGCAGGGAACATGGCAGAGAACGTTCTGGTCTAGGAGTCAGTGTCTTCTGGGTCATGAGCACTGAGTATGCCCACTCATTCATTCCTTCACCCCTGCATCTATTCACATACATTCTCCAAGTTCTTGAAATGAGGCAGAGCCCAATGGGAACCCTGGGATTCAACAAGACCCCTGTCCTTGTGTGATTCCCGCATGGATGGGGAAAAGAGGCAGCAGCAGTCAGGTGCAAGCTAGTGAGATATGTGACAAGATGAGAGAAGCCAAGGACTGAGTGGTCAGAGATGGACACCTGCCCAGGGGATGACTCAGCTGCCGGAGGAGGGGAGCAGCTGTTCCATCACCGGGCCACTCCAGGCTCTAGCCAAGTGTGACTGTCAATGTCCTCATTGCTGCCTGAGTTACCTGAGGCCCACGAAGTCACCAAGTGGCTGCCAAAGATCACACAGTGAAGAAGAATTAGGACCCAAACTTGGGTCTTTTGTGTCCCAATCCAGCACATCTGGATGAAGGTGGGAATGGTGCAGGGAGACTTTCTCTATCCTCGCTCCAACCTTTGCCACCTAGCTTCTCTACATCACATCTTTCCCTCACGTCCTCCACAAGCCCCTTTGTAGCTCAGCACCTGGGAGATGAGATTTCCTGGAGCTTTGCTGCACTGTAAGGGGAGCCTGGAAATTTACAGATCAGGAGATCTGCTGGGGATCGCTGGCTCTAGTCATCCTTTTCAGTTGGGAAGCAGGTGCGCATGGATAAGGAAGAGCCTTGTCCAGGGTCACCCAAAGAGACAGTTGGCTGTATTTCTTGAATTTCAGACCAAGGATCTTTCCCCTAGATCAATCCATTCCTCCATCCATTTACTCATCCACGCATGCATCTGTTCATCCATCCATCCTTGTATCCACCCACCAACCTGTGCACACAGCCATTCACCCATCCACCTCTCCATCCACTCATCCATCACCCATCCATCTATCCATGCATGTATTCAACACTAATGATGAGCTGAGTATGTGCCAGACTTGGGAGCAGGGTGGGGGGTGCAATGGTGAACACTGCCAACAGGGGGCTTGGAACTCAGTCAGAAGGCATCCACCAAGCAGACACAAGCACAGCTCGGAGGGATGATGCTGCAGAACACAGGCCAAGGGGAGATGATGGAGAGCTAGTGGGCTGCACTCTTAATACAGTGGCCAGTGTCTCTTCCAAGGAGGTGTGGTATGAAGTTTCATGAAGACTGTCTGGGGTGGAGGGAATAGCCAGGGCTCTGATGCAGGTCAGGGAGGGGATGGATTTGGAGAGCTTCAAGGACCAGAAGTAGGGTTAGGGTTTCGGGTGGCCAGCCATGCTCTAGACTTCTCTCTGGAAACAGTCTAAGGGTGGCAGCAGGAGGAAAGACTGCTCATGGTCTCCAGGCTTTTGGCTAGCCAGCATCTCTTCCATTTGCCCTTGCCTGGTTCCCAAGCCTCTTTATGCATCCACAGCTCTCATAGCAGAAGACTGACGTGGGTGGTCTCCCAGACACTGCCAGGATAATTATCTGAGAATGAGACCAGAGGATTGCTACGTCTGAAGTGCCACAGGGGGCTGAGAGAAACACCCATGAGCAAAGCCCTGCAGAGGGGAAGGAATGGTGAGGGGGGAAGGGCAAGGGTGGCTCCATTGCTGCATGCACCAGTGGGCGAGAGTGTCAGAGGCCCAGGAGCCCCACAACTGCATTGCAATCTGTTCTGTGTGTCTCAGGATGAATCTCCCCACCTTGCTTTCCCCAAATGTGTCATGAGAGCCATGACAATGACCCCAGCCCAGCCACCACATAGGGCTACTAGAATGTCAGGAGATATGATGGGTTTCATGGCTAGTATTGGTCCAGCGCATGCTGAGGGTCAGGTCCTGTGTGATTTCATTTGTCCTGCATTATTTCACTTGACCTTCCAGTCACTGAGATTGTCCCCAGGAGGAAAGGAAGGTCTAGGGAAGTCAAATAACTTCCCTGCCTTCTTTGTTAATTCTCAGCTCGATTTGTTGGTGGGAATCCCTGGTTTTGCGTGTCCTTCTAGTGCTGTGGGCATGGCACTGTTGGCAGCCAGCAGAGGGCATGGAAGGAGAAGGCTCCACCCCTAGGGGGGTCCAGGGTAGACATTTTGACTCCTGGCTGCATTCCTCCCTGCTCTGCCTTCCAGTGAAGGGCAAGCACACTGACATTTTGCAGGTGCTGAACAGGTGCTAGATTGTTTTGGGACAAGCACGCCCTCCTGGTGCTCAGGTTAACAGCAAGCCAATTTTGCAGGCCATAAAACTGATCCTCCAGGAGGGTGGTGGCATGCCCATGGTCACACAGGACTTGATGGCCATGGAGGGCTTTGGAGAAAGGAGGCCAGCAGTGGAGGAGAGACAGAGCTGGGTTACTTGGTCTACTAAGCCGCTGAGAGCTGCTGTTCCTATCAGCTTTGGTGCTGAGCTGACTTGAATGGTCACAGCAGGTGGCTGGGGAGGGTGGTCCTTTGCCCTTGGTTCTCTGAGCTCTGTCCTGGCAGCTGCAGAAGGACAAGTGCCTTGACAGCAGATGGTCCCTGACTCCCTCAGCCACTGCTGCAGGGAGATGGTGTTCTCCAAGCCAAGGGAGCTGCGGTCACCCGCCCTACAACCACCACCACCACCACCACCAAGTAGTCAATCAGCAGCTCCTGGCAGCCAAAGCCAGACCCTCTGGCTTACTTCTGGAACACAGCAGTGAGTATAGCTGGTAGCAGATTGCCAGCCTCTCCGTGTTGGCTCCTTTCTGTCCCTGTGTGCAGAGGAAAAAGAGTCCAGAATGGCGCCTTGCAGTCTAGTCTCTGGCTGCATGACTTGGATGAGTCAATTCAGCTTGTTGGGCCTCCATTTGAATGGGGAGAACAGGCTGCCACTCTGCCTGTGGAGCCCTATTGAAAGCTACAACGGGGAGACGAATGGAGAGCACAAGGAAGACTGTAAGAATGGCTGCTCAGGGGAACGTAAGAGATCCTGCTCATATACCTCCCACCTCACCACTCCTGAGCATCCTGAAGCACACAGTGGAAACTCAAGGAAAATTACTAGGCTTCTCCAGGAAGTCTGGGTGTTCATTAATAAAACTATTTACCCTCCTATGTACCCATCCTTCCATTAAGCCATCAATTTGCTCACCTATCTGTCCATTCATCCATGTATCCATTCATCTATCCATACATGTATCCAACTATCCACCCACTCATCCATACATCCAGATACTCTATAAGCCATCCATCCATCCATTCTCATCCCTTTGCTCATATATCCACCATCCATCTGTCCATCTACCCATAGAGCCAATTACATATCCATCCATCCATCCATCCATCCATCCATCCATCCATCCATCCATCCATCCACCCATTCATCCACCCATCCATACACCCACCCGCCCATTTATCCATCCATTCACACATTTTCCCATAAGCTTTCCAACATACTCCAAGCCTTCACTGAGTAGCTCTATCCCTCTGACTCTTTATTTTACATTGATTTGTGTCAGTGATTGTGCAGGGCAGTGTTGGATAAGTGATGTATAGTAACAATAGCTTCTGCTGATCAAATATGGCCTTACTCTGTCACTCTTTGCAACAGCTAAGAAGAAAATAAATGAATTATGAAAGAAGTAATATGTTAAGGATTTCAATACATTAGGACAAGGGTATGTAAGGGATTATTTTGAGCTCTGCACTGTGTCAACAAGGTAGGTAAAGACCTTGTCCCAGGCACTTCAAGTTCCAGTGGGAGGTCCTGGCCACTAGATGCTAGACAACAATGAGAGGGACGGGGTTGTGGGGACCTGGGGGGGGGGTGACAAGGTTGTTTTGGGGCAGAGAATTTGAGGAGGGATGCTCTGAGTAGATCTGACCAGAGACCCGGATGAAGGAGAGTGGCTGTGACAAGGTTGTTGTAGTTGGAAATGACAGTCCAAGCCCTTATATACAGAGAAGCCTGTGCCTGGGGATTTCAGGCTAGAGGAAGGACAGCCATGGCATTGGACAGAGGGTGTGCCAGGAAGAGCCACAGAGCATGAGTGGTGGTGGGGACTTGATTTAGATGTGATGTCGAGTGAATTGGGCTTTCTCATTTTCTTTTCTTCATATATTTGAAAATCATGATAAAATTTACCTACCAGGAAAGGCACTGTTCTTAAGTGGACCGTTTGATGAATTTTAATCAGTGGGAATGTTTGTGCAGCCATCCCAATCACACCCTAGAACATTCCCATCACTCCTGAGGGCTCCCTCGTGCCTCGTTGCAGCCAAGTCCCATTCTCCATAGACCAGTGCACTTCCGGTTTGCATCAACAGGGACTTGAGTTGCTGTCTGGGAGTTGCTGGAAATTGGATCCCACAGTGTGGCCTGCTGTGTGACTTCTGAGCTTTGGCCAAGCTGCTTTGTGAACCCCAAGTTCATGCATTGGCATCAACCGAGAGCGCTTCATCATCAGGCTGCACTGGGCTACCTACGGGCTTTGTTCTTGTTGGTGGTGGTCAGGAAGAAAGCTGCTGTAAACACTCATGTACGAGTCTTTGTAGACATCTGGCTTCTTTTTTTTTTTTAATGTATCTTATTTATTTATTTAATTTTTTTTGAAAGGCAGAATTACACACACAGACAGAAGGGAGAGACAGAAAGAAGTTATCCTGTATCTGCTGGCTCACTCCCCAGAAGGCTGCAAGGACTGTGGCCAAAGCCAGGTGCCAAGAGCTTCTTCTGGGTCTCCCATGTGGATGCAGGAGTCCAAGCACTTGGGTCATCTTCTGCTGCTTTTCCAGGTGCCTTACCAGGAAACTGGATTGGAAGTGAAGCAGCTGGGACTAGAACCAGTGCCTGTATGGGTGTTGGCTATACAGGCCTTGGCTTTACCTGCTGTGTCACAATGTTAGCTCCAGATACCTGTTTTCATTCTCTCGGATTTGGGGTCACTGGGAAGGACGATTTGGCTTTGTAAGAACCCGCCACTTTTCCCAAGTAGTGACACTGTCTCAGGCTTCCATCAGCAACGTGGGAGGGCGCAGACGGTCCTGGCTCCTTGTGAACATTTGGCAGTGTCTGTTTATACGGCAGTTAGTGGTCATGAAATTATGTCTCCCCAAGTTATAATCTTCATTTTTTTTTCCTGATGACTCCATGGCCATTTGTGTCTCTTCTTAAACTGTGGGTCGTCTTTCATTATTAATTTATTGGATCTGGAAATAGGTGCTCCATCAGACACGGGTATAGAGAGCACTGAAGTTTGTCTTTCCATTAGCTCAGAATTGTCTTAGGACAAGCAGAAGATTTGAATTTTGATGAAGCCCAATTTAACCATTTTCATTTAGTGCTTTTTAGTGAGTGCTTGAAAGATCCTAGCTACCCCAGGGTCAGCAGGAAATGTTTCAATACATTGTTCCGGAAGCTTTAGGATGCTGGCTTTTAAGTCTGTGATTCATTTCCAATTATCCAGTGTGTGTGTGTGTGTGTGTGTGTGTGTGTGTGTGTGTGTGTGTGTGTGTGTGTGTGTGTAAGGCATGGAGGGGCTGCAAGTTCAACTTTTCCTTCTGTGAACTCAGTTGTTGAAAGGCCGTTTATTACAAAGATGTCTCTGCCCTCCTGGAATAGCCCTGGGGTCTTTGTCAAAAATCAATTGGCTGTGCAGATGTGGGTCTATTTCTGGCTTCTCATCTGGCCCATCATCCACTCATCCACCACTGCAGGGGTGAGGGCTAATGTTGGGGGTGGGATATGGCAAATGTGGTAGCAGAAGGAGCTCACTGAAGCGCCCGTATGGATGCAGGTGGGGGTGGCTGCATGGTCATGGAAGACAGATTTGTGGGGAAGAGTCAGGCTGAATTGCCAGCGCTGGATGAAGGCCAGGATGTGGGATATGAGAAAAGAGTGGAGTATGTGGTGGCTCTAGGTTTCTGCCTCCATCAGCACAAGAATGCAGTTAGCATCCATTGAGATGGGAGCCAGCATCCCCAGGCACCTGTGGTCCAGACCACGAGAAAGGAGCAAACCCTGCAAGACAGGGGAGCTTTAGGATGGGCACATCCAACTGCAAGAGCTAGAGAAGGGTCCAGGAGGGCTTCCTGGAGGAGGTGGCATTGAGCTGGGGAATGCATCCCAGGTGAGCAGGAGTGAAGCTATGCTGCAGGGTCACACACCTTGATGCCTGTCGGTCAGCCTACTCTTCCACATCCATTGTAGATGCTTGGATTCTGAGCCCCAGGGCCATCTTGTCCATTCCACTGGCTCAGTCTGAGTACATGTGAAAGTGCATGAATCCATGGCCCCTGTGCCCCCCAGCATTCTCCACTGGCACTGCCCACTGGTTCAGTGGATGTCTGATGGCTGCTTAGCATGGTGGTTGGGCAGCCCTGGCTGGCTTGTCTCGGCATGGTCACCCTAAGATGGCTCCCACGTGGGGAAGCATCTTGCGCAGAACCAGGCATCTTGCATCAACTTAGTTACTCTCATTCTCTCCATGCAAGAGGTCTGAAAACAGAAGCTCTGAGACACAAGAGACCTCCTCAATCCACAGAGTAGAGCTTGGAGGGCAAGCCAGTCCAGGAGCCTCTTGGATGACTCTGCCATCCTGGTGACTGTGCTGTGTCCTTCCCTCCACCCCACACTCTCTGTGCCCACTGCTGGTGAGTGGACCCGTCTGCCCTTTGCTCCAACAGTGGGGAGCCACACAGGTGGTTCTAAGTAAGGGGTCAAGGAGCCTGGGATCAGGCCTGGCCAAGCAGGGGCCGGGAAAGGAAGGGAGCTCCTTCCTTCCCACCTGGCTGGGGAGGTAGGCAGGGGGCCTAAGGAGCTACTCCTGGGGTCTCTATGGAATGATGGACAAATGTGCCCGGGTGGCTGCTGTGAGGATGTCAGTGAGAGGTGCACTGTCCACCTTTCAGCATTCATCCCAGGACAATTGACTTAGCTTCCCTGGGCCTTGGTTTCCTCATCTTGGAATAATAAAAGAGCCTGCCTTTTTGGGTGATTATGAGGCTCCAGGGAGCAGCCTGGGGCAGGCAGCAGGTGTTCAGTCCCTGCTAGTTCTCATTATTATCTCCTGTGTGGGCAGCTGGCCCATGGGAATAGTGAGGTCTTCCAGAAGAAGCTCCAAGTCAGCCCAGAGCACCTGCTCGGGCCTGGGGAGCACAGTGGCTGGCATGATAGGACCAAGAGAAGGCATCGACAGGCCTGGCTGGGCATTCCCGCTTCACTGTGTACAAGCGGATGACCCATCTGCAAAATAGGACTCCACCCTGGACCCTCACTTGTGAAGATGGAATGAGACAGTGTTTACAGAGGCACCTGATACCCAGTAGGTACACCTGGGACTCTGGAGGAGTGTTACTATGTCTGGTGGTCCGGTGAAGGGCAGGGAAGCCCTCTGGACCCCGACAGAAGCCACAGACCCTCCCCCTGTGGGGCAGCACTCTCACTTCCTGGTCCTCAAGGGCCTGGGAATGAGGCTGGGGCTGGATCCATACTGCTGCTGACTGCTGCAGAGGCCCTTAGAATAATCCTGGAGGTCTTGGGTAAGAGGAGGAGCTGTTGGGGTACAAAGGGAGGCAGGCAGAAAGGACCAGCCGTGTCATCGTCCATCCCCTCTGGCCCTGCGCCTCCTCCTTCCTCGCTCCAGCTCAGCTGGGAGAAGGAAGCGCCAAGGGAGGGAAGGAGGTTCAGCCGGGGAGGCTGGTTCAGGGGTGCAGCGAACTCCGAGGGGCAGCAGGCCCCCTGTTGGGGATGAGGTCTGCAGACCCGTAAGCTGGGTGCGGACATTTGGTGCCGGAGCGAAGCTCGTGCTCAGGACTCCTGAGTTCCATAGGAGCAGAATGTGCGGGTTCAGTCCTAGCTCCACTCTTCATTTGAATCTGCACTGAGGGAGGCAGCAGGTGATGGCTCAAGGGTTTAGATCCCTGCAGTTCTGTGAGAGAGCTGAACTGAGTGCCTGGCTCCGGGGCTAGCTCAGCCCGGCTGTTGCAGGTACGTGGGGACGGAGCCAGCAGATGGACAGCCTCTCTGTCTCCGACCCCCTCCTCTCCCTCCTCTCTTTGAAATAAAATGAAGGCAGACAGGTCACTGCTTCTGACATGGCAGCTGGAGTGATGCTGTCCCCCATCCTATGCTTGTAACGCTGCCCAGGCAGCATCAGGACCTGGGAAGCCTCGCCCCATCCCGCCCCATCGTGCCCCAGGCTCGCCACCCCTCCCCTGCATCTCGCCAGAACTCCTGTCTGAGCCAGATGATCCCCTGGGTTCCTCTTACATTCCTGATGGACCCAGACCTTGACTTTGCTGTGGCCCCCTCTGTTCCTGGCCTTGACCTGAGCTTTTATATAAACCCTAACCCTGGAGGACCCGCTTCTGCCTCTCCTGGTCCTAACTGACATTCTCTGCTCCTGACGGGAGCCAGTTACCTTCTCTGCAGAAGTTCCCCTCTTCACTTACCCACACAGCTCCCCATGGCACCCAGGTCTCATTCGCCACCTGCCTTGTTCCTAACACAGATGCAGTAACTACTCCCCGCTCCTGTTCAGCCACCAGCCCCCGTAACTTCCCACATCTTCCATTCAGACAGAACCAACTTCTCCCTGACCCAGTGGTGCCCTGGCCTCCTCCCCTGTTCCTCAATCCCATTAGTAAACCTGCTTTAGAACCCCTCTCTGTGCTCTGGCCTGACCTGACCTCTGCTTTGCTCCATTTCTTTCACATCCCAGAGACCTGTTCCAAGACTGCCCAACACCTGGCCTGCAGGTGGTGCACAGCGGACCCCAAGCCTTACCCAGCGTGACTTCTGCCTGCATGGGCATCGACAGTGCCGGGTGCTTGACCTCGCAGCTGAACAGGGCCTCGTTGTCGATCTGCGGGTTGAGGGTCCAGGTGAGCAGAGCACGCACCTCCACGGTGCCGTCACTGCCTGGGGTGTGGCTGTGGTGTAGGAAGTAGATGGGCTCGGTGCTGTGGACCCAGCGGGGGAACTCGCGGCTCACGATGGTCTCCGGGACATTCTCGGTGGTCGGCTGCAGGAAGGCGCTGGGGTCTGGGGTCAAGACGCGGGAGGGATGCTCCGTGTAGGGACGCCCTCCCCGGGTCTCAGTGTCCAGGAGGGACAGCGACTTCTGCATCTTGGTGTCATCTAGGTCACGGTGCAGAAGGCTGCGGAAGGGCCTGCTGTCCTGGAGGGGGCCCGAGCTTGCAACCGGTGGCTCAGACAAGGGCACGGCGTCGATGGGTTCCCCATCTCTTTTGAAATAAACCTGAAGTTACAAGGTGCGGTGTGAGAAAGGATTGTGCCCAACAGACCTTGACCTCCCAATGAACTCTCAGGTGAACTGGACACAGGAAGCCAGTTCTTTGGGACCTTCTCTTGGGACTTTTATTTATTTATTTTTAAAAAGATGTGTTCATTTTTATTGGAAAGGCAGATATATGGAGAGAAGGAGATACAGAAATAAAGATTTTCCATCCACTGATTCACTCTCCAAGTGGCCACAACGGCTGGAGCCAAGCTGATCCGGAACCAGAAGCCAGAAGCCAGGATCCAGGAGCCAAGAGTTTCCTCTGGGTCTCCCATGTGGGTGCAGGGTCCTAAGGCTTTGAGCTATCCTCCACTGCCACAAGCAGGGAGCTGGATGGGAAGTAAAACAGCTGGGATACAAACCAGTGCCCATATGGGACCCTGGTACACATACAAGGCGAGCATTTAGCCACTATGGTATTGCACTGGTCCCCTCTCTTGGGACTCTTGTAGGTGGGTGGCTGCTCAGTTCCCTTCTTTCCCTATAGCATCTCAAAACTAGGAGTTAAAGTGCTATAATGAAAATTTACAAAGGAAGACAAGGACATCTGGTTCGGGGTCTTTAGGGGAGCAAAGGTGACACCATAGGGGAAACAGAACCCTTAGACACAGCCTCGAGGCCCACCCTAGGCTCCAAGGGGGTGATGTGTACCTACCTGGGAAAGCCACGGGATAAAACAGAAATGGATGCATGGAGAGCAGACGAGGTGTGGGGCGAGCGAGTGAGGAGGGAGGCGCCGTGTGTGCATGAGTGTGCCGCGGAGTTGGCAGGCAGGAAGCAGGTGCATGTGGGGGAGGGAGCTAGGTGTGGAACGAGAAGACACCCATCTCCTCGCTTTCTCTGCTAATGCGGAATTCGAGTTTTGAGAGGCGGCATTTAATTTAATTTGCTGTCTTTTTATTTTGGTACATGCGCCCAGAGGCCTGTGGGGATTGGGTGTTTTTTTGTTTTTTTTTTTTTAAATAAATCAGATAAATAAATCGATGGGAGACAAGGCGGAGCGCGGGGAAGCAGCCCCGGGGAATGCAGATGGGCGGATGGGGGTGTGGAACGAGGAGGCGGGGGCAGGAGGCGGAGGGGGCAGGAGCGAAGGGAGGATAATTGAAATGTGGATGCAGAGAATCTGTCAGAGTTTATAACTCCAGCAAAGAGTCTCTTAGGCACATAATAGCCTGCGTTGAGTTTTTTTTTTTTTTTTTTTTACCCCCCTTTCTTCTCTCTCTTTTTGCAAAGTGCTTCAAAAGCAGATTTGCAATTTGTATCAAAGAATGTCTTTCAAGTTCTGACATCTCGGGAGGTGGAAGGTGCCGGGAATGTGGGCAGATGAGGGTCTTCTGCATTGTATCAGTGTGGTTCGCTGCCAGGTCCTTAGTGGCAGGCCAGACCAGGTGAGGGCGGTGGGGAGGACAGTGTCTTCTAACAGCCCCATGCCTGGGGGAAGCTTCTCTGTGATCCCCCACCCCCAGGGGAAGAGACAAGCTGAGGGGGACAAGGAGGAGCACTGGGAGACAGGTCTTTCAAATCCTGGCGACTTTGAAGTCACCTTGAAAATCTGTTTCCTTGGGACTGCATCTTGCCTCTGTGTGCGTGCTCAAGGTCCCTCGTGACCTTCTGCGCATTTTAGTGCCCGACTATGCTTCGGCACCTATGCCCATCCTCCATTCCTTACCTGCACCTCGGGGCACTCACTCAGTGCCCAGCTGAGCCTCTGCACGCCAGTCTAGAGCCTGACCTGTGCCTCTGCACTCCTGCTTGCTGCTCTACCTCTGGGCACCTGCTTACCACCCCGCCTTGTCTGCGCACCTGCTTAGTGCTTACCCAAACCTCTGTGCACCTGCTCACCACCCTGCCATGTCTCCATACACCTGCTCAGTGTACCTCCATTCCTGTGGGCACCTGCTCACCCAACCCTGCCATGTCTGCAGACCTCACAGGAATGAAGTTGGGTCTGCTAAGCAAGAGTTGAACCCCAAAGGAGTTTGCTCCCTTTTCATCTTCCTCTCCTTCCTCTGTCTCCTCCCCCTTTCCTTCTCCCCAACCACGTGAGGTCCCAGGAAGAGCGATGGACTTGGAGCTTGAGGCCTAGAATGCGAGTCCCAGCTCCATGGCGAACCCCGTGGGCAACTCCAGACAAGTCGCTTCACCTCTAGGCACCCTCTTCCCCTACCATGGCCCACTGTAAAGTTCCAGAATCCTGGGCCCTGGAGAGGGAGAGTCAGATGTCTGGGTGGGTCACCCGTGTGAAGGGGGTCAGAGTCAGCGTCCTTCCTGGGCCCCTGCAGCTTGAACAACCCCCAAAGCAGAGCTGGGCATGCTATCTGGGACACTCACGGTGGGCGCTGGCTTCCCTCCAGACACGATGCAAATGAGCGTGAAGTTCTGGGCTTGGTAGCGGCTGAAGGGTGATGGTGTGTCAGCGGCCACCACTTCGATGGAGGTGGGAGGAGCTGCCACGGGGTAGGGTGGGGAGGAAACACAGGAAGACAGAGGCTTAACCAGAGGAGTCAGAGAATTCACCTGTTGCCCAGGGTGGGCCATCCCACTCCTGATGCTGGCAGCTGGAGGGACAAGGAACAATCAATATCTCACAGCCCCAGAGATGCCCTTGGCATTGACCTCAGTGAGAATGAGGCTGCTAGCTGGAAATACAGACCCCTTGCCAGTGCCTCATACAGCCTCCAGACTGGTGGCGGGAGGTCACACAGGAGTTAGGGGACCCTGCAGAACACCCGTAGGAAGTACAGCAGAGCGTAGAGGGGACCCTGCCTGTGCCTGGGAGTGGGTGCTGTAGGAGGAGCTGCACAGTCCTGGGACCCGTGGAAGCAATTGCGGGTGAGAGCCAGCGTGGCAGGCAGGAGCAGCAGGAGGTGCCAAGGAATATGCATGGGGGCAGCCCAGGAGATGTATTGCCCTGTGGGTTGGGTGGGTGAGCAGCACAGAGCACGTGACTAGCTGGCTGACTTGCGGTGGTGGTGGCCTGTGGCAGCTGATTCCAACCAGAGGAGCCCATGGTAACATTTTCAGGAATTTTGTGAAGCCGCTGCTACACTGTTGCCAACTTGAAACAGGTCGCAGTGGGTGTCTTTGCACCATGGAAAGCAACAGCTGCTGCAAATCAGGGCCTTTTCATGCTGCCTTCCTCTGCCTGGATCCCCAGAGAGCTGCTTGACCAGCACACCCCTGGTTCCCAGGTCTTCTTCATCCTCTGAGCAATAGGGAGCCACCGACGGTTCTAAGCAGAGTGGTGACATCATCTGGCTTGTATTTTGAAAAGACTGAAAGCAGACTGTGACTCTGAGCCGGAGTGAATGCAGGAGTGCACGTGTGGGAGTGTGGATACCATGAGAACTTCTTGAAGCCAGGAGCCCCCTGCCTCTCTTGGCTGAAGATTGCTTCTTTTGGTCTCACCTCCCTCCTGGTCTCACCTGCTGCCTCTGGTGGGTTTGTGGAGGCCTGCGCTCCTGGGTACCCAGGGGCACAGGAAAGAACACACACGAAGCCACTAGGGACACATGGATCTAAAACCAGCTGGATCGCTAGCACTCAATGTCCACAGGCAAAACGGGAGCCTCAAGTCTCCAGTGTGTGAAATGGGCATCGTATCACGGGCAGACCGGTCGGCAGGATGACACTGGCTAACGGCCAGGAAAGGGTAGGGATCTGTCACCGCGATGATTTCTACTGTGCTTCCCCACAACCTTCTCGGAATCAGCGGGACAGGAGCCAGACTCTCGGAGCTGTGCTTGGGCAAGCCTGCCGGGGGCAGCTTCCTTGGCTGGAGGGGAGCCATGGGCAAGGGTACTCGTGCGGGACACAGGGAGAGTGCAGTGGGGCAGGCCCAGCCTGCCTGCAGGGGGCTTTTGCTCCAGTACAGATTAATTACATCTGACAAATGGCCCCCACACCCACCAGGTGCAGGCCACACTGCCGAGGACCTCACACCCTGTGTGGGGTCACCCTGTGGGGGCGGCAGGCACGCGGGCGACTCTATTTCAGGGTCCAGTGACAGAGAGCCAGGTAGGAGGCGTTCGTTCATCCATGCAGCTGTCCCCCACTGGCTCCTGGAGAGGAACAGAACCCACCGGAAACAATCGTAGAACAATAGACGGGGAATTGTGATTAAACCTAAGATTGCATGAAACAGATGGTAAGCGGGGCAGGCACTCTGAGAAGCAAGAAATAAACCAGAACACTTCAATTTCCAGAAGCTGCGGATTCTGCAAACTGCACCGCAACTCGGCGGAACGCTCAGGGCTGCCTCGGCACGGACAGACAGGAGCTGCTCTTGTGACCGGATGGCTGGATCCACCTTTGGTCGGCACCCTCAGGCTACATACGAGGTGGGTTTCCTTTGTGCCCATTTTACAGATGGCTAAGTGTAAGCGATGAAGAAACTTGCCCAAGTTCACAGATCCAGATAGAGGGGGAGCCAGGATTTGAACCCAGGCTGTTTGGCACCAGAGACCAGCCTCTCACCTGAGGCTGAACTAGCTCGGCCTTTGGGAAGCAAAGGCAAGTTAGTATCTCTTGGCAGGGAGAACCCACTAGTGTATTTGAGCCACCAAGGCGCCTGCTTTGCTGGCTCACGTCAACTTGCACAGGTACCTTGCTGCCTCATTCCCTCTGGGATTAACTGCTCCTATGAGTGTCTGTCATAGGCTCAGTAGTCACCAGGCTCAGTGACCAGGCCAGTCAGGGGTCAGCCTAGCTGCTGGCACAGCTAGGGTGGCCTGTGTTCAGCTGTCAGTCTACCTCCCATGAACCCTAGAACGGGGCAAGCAGAGTGCCTTGGCGTCACACACCTTCCCCGTGCAGATACCACACATCTAGAACCTTCTTTGAGGGGGCTGTGTTCAGGATTCATTGAGCAGATGTCCACCATTGCCAGCAGTGTAGACCAGCAGCGTTAAGGAATAGGGTCTGTCTCATTGTGGATGAAGCTGGTAGGGAGGGACGCTGGTTAGGAACCCCGGTTCTAGACCAGACCCCCTGGGGGTCAAGGCCGGCTGCACTACCCACCTGTCATGTGACCCTGGGCAAGTTCCTTAACCCCTCTAAGCCTCCATTTCCTCACCTGAGAAAACTCAAGGAAGCAGGACCTTTTGTAAGTGTCGATTGCAAACCGACTCACCGTGTGGTTCACCAGTGGCCCTGAGACACCCTGCTGTGGGCTGGGAACAGAAAATGGTCTTTGCTTGGGGAAGTCATGGTTCCTCAAGGAGCCTAGAGGATACCTGGAGCTTTCCCCATCGTGCACAGAGCCACTCATCCTCGAAGGGTGGCTGGGTCAAGTTCATCTGCCCTCAAGTGTAAAAAGCACACCAAGTTTTGAAGATTTAGTTTTTTAAAAAGGGCGTTAGGTATGCCATGAACTTTTTATATTGATTACATGTTAGTATGATATTCTGGATACATAATAGCTATGTTATAAAAATTGGTTTCACCTCTTTTTAATCTTTTCTTAATACGGTTCTTAGAAAGCTTATAATTACACATAAACTTGCATTATATTTCTATTAGAAAGCATTAGCCCAGTGTTCCCATTTTACAGGTAAGTAAACTAAGGCCAGAGAGACAGGCACAGATCTATACAGGGTTACACTATCAGCCAACAGCCATGGGTGGACAGTTTCCCGGCTCAGATTCTCGGCATGTCCTGGGACCATCTCTCCTCCCCACGCCCCTCACAAGTGTCCCCATTCTGCAGATCTGCACCCGAGTCACGCACACCACCCACACGGACTCTGATGAGGAGCTGTGTTCTTGTCCCTCGTTATATTTCTGAGCAGGTGTGAGCAATATGTACAGTTAATCAAGCTCCTAAGACAATAACAATTTCAGTGCCTGGGATGGTGACAATGACACGATGGAGCTGCTAATATCATTGTGTGAGGCCCGGGCTCCCTGCACGCTCCCCACCTACATGCTCCCCTGTCACCAAGTCCTAGAAACATGTCACTCTGTATCAGGCTCCCTGTCGCCTGCTGGAAGCCTCTGGGTGCTGGCAGTGACTACTGGCCACTGGCTCCTCTTTCCTTGTCCCTGCCCTTTCCTTGGGCACTGTGCCTTTGTACCCCGCCACACCTAGCTTCCTGGGCACATTTGTCTGTAGCAGGGCTGGGGAGCCATTGCTCCATCGAGGACTATTTGGATAGTTAATAACACCATCCGTGGTCTATTCAAAGCCATCAACTTAAATGTGAGTCAGCTACAGACTTATGGGATTTCCTGTCCCACCTGCTGTTGCCTTGGCAGGGCCAGACCAAGTGTCCTCATATGTTTTACATGGCCCTCAAGTCGGGTCGGATGTCCCCTCTCCCGCTTTCTGGCCATTCTTCACACCTGTTACCTTCATTTCCACTCCACCCCCACCTTCATTTTCGTGCCAGCCCTGTCCTCCATGGCCATCTCTGTTGAACTCTCTGACCAAGGTCAAAAGCAAGCAGCCTGTGTGTCCCTCTGCCCTGGGTGGACCCCCTACTCCAGGAACAGCGTCTGGCCATGGACAGATGGTCAATGGAGGCAATGGAGTCCGTGTGACTCCCTAGACAAGAGCGAGCTCCAGAAGAAGCTGGGGAAAGTGAGGCACCTGACTGGGCTCAGCTGTGCTAAGGAAACCCGGGAGATGGACAGCGGCCAAGGTCATCAACCAAGCTCTGTGGTGTGCCCATCCTGCCCTGCTTCTGCTAGGCTCCCACCCCGGTGCCTCAGTCTTTTGACCTTGGAGGTGTGTGTGTGTGTGTCGGGGGGTGGTTCTCAGAGATGCCCATGCCAGAGCCGAACTTGTTGGGGTAGGGGTGGATGAACATGCTCACAGAACCATTTGAACTGACCCTCCAGGGGCAGAAAGACCCCCAAGCAGGTGTTCTACTTGGGGAAGGCCCAAAGCATTGCCATCCCAAAGTGAGACACCAGATGTGAGCGCAGCTTGTGAATGCGCAGCCCATTCTGTGTGAAGCACCTGCTTAATGCCAGCCCCAGGTGGAGGAAGGACCACCAGCAGTCAACCCAAGACCACCACCACAAACCCCCCGAATCCCTCAACTCCCATGCCAGTGGACTTTTCAGGTTTTCTGCCCGCCACCTGGTCCTAAGGGGAGAGGATTATTGCTACAAGTGTCTCTGACCATCTTTATCTAACCTTAGGGAGGGTCAAGTGGTTCCCCGGGCAGCATCACGGCCAACTTCTGCCGCCTCATTTCTCCCTCTGGCCGTCGAGGGAGGCAGGCACTGAAATGATTTTGGACTCAGCACTTAACGTGGACACGGGGAGGTAGCTCCTGGTTGATGGGTTTGACGAAGTGAACTCTGAAATATTGCCTGTCTTTCTCCTGAAAGCAGAACTTAGTTTCTGGTACCATAACTCACTTTGGAGCCAACGAGGCTGCTGTGCCCAGCTCCTTAAATCACCTGTGGCCCTTTGCAGTCTGGGAACACTACCCTGACC